CTCTTGTGTTGATATGCTACTATCTTGTGTTGATGTGCTACTCTCTTGCGTTGATGTGCTACTCTCTTGTGTTGATGTGCTACTCTCTTGCGTTGATGTGCTACTCTCTTGTGTTGATAAGCTACTCTCTTGTGTTGATGTGCTACTCTCTTGTGTTGATATGCTACTATCTTGTGTTGATATGCTACTCTCTTGCATTGATGTGCTACTCTCTTGTGTTGATATGCTACTTTTGTGTTGATATGCTACTCTCTTGTATTGATGTGCTGCTCTCTTGTGTTGCTATGCTACTCTTGTGTTGCTATGCTACTGTCTTGCGTTGACATGCTACTCTCATAACAAGAATTATATTGCTGTCTGTTTTCTAAGAAAAAAAATGCCACAAAAAGCTTTTAGTTGCTTGAATGCATGAATTGTGGTTGAATAGAAGAAATACATCTTCCAGTTTACGATTACACCAATATGTGATTTTCCATTCACCTACGAGATCTTGTGTAATGCGTGAAAGACGCTGATCAAACGTATGCCGCTAAAATCGAATGATTTGATTTTGAGCTTGAATTTCTCCTTTTTCCAGTTCAATGTTGAAATTACTATCTCTCAGAGTGGAATATGGCATTGAGATATCATAACTTCTTCAAAATTGATCATTGTCAAATGTAGTGAGTGTGTATGTTTTGACACCCCTATGATGCTGTGACATTTGTTCTGCTTTTATGTTTCATTTCACACATAAAATTTTCAAAATCTTATTCGGGAAAACAGATGAGAGTGAATCCATAATGATATGTCTCAATATCTTCAAAGTTTCCCCCTTACTGAACACAAGTATGGTTTTTTTCAGATGTGGGCATGCGCCTTGGGGCATTGCGAGACGGCACTTCTTCTTTATCAGTGGAACTCACACGCTTTATCCATCTCTGATTCTATTGGTCGAATTCCTATCCAAGTTTCCAAGTCACGAGGACATGTGCTTTTATCTGAACATCTTGAAAGTTTGCAGAAAGAAAGATTGGATTCCGTTTCCATGGGAACAGTTAATCAGATGAAAACACCCATATTCTCAGTGGAGGACAGATCAAGTGATGTTCCATCTGATTTCTCTATGTCACCTTTCACCTCCATGACCTATGACCGCTCCCCACAGACACTCTCACCTCAGTCAAGTCCACGAGGGTCCTGGTCACCTAAATCTCAACCGTCCACTAGTCCTTTATCAACAAGTCCATTGCCAAATAGAAACCGATCTCTTTCATGCAGTAACCTAACTGGACAGCAAAACTCTCTCAAAAGTACACCTGCAGGCTCAAATGGTTTTGATTTATCGACACAGCCATTGAGTGTATCTGTCGACAATTCGGTCAATTTCAAAGTTCCATTTGGAGGAAATACCCAAGATCAAACTCAAATGTCTGATTGCCCATTCCCAATTCCAATGCAAATTGATGAAGATGTAAGTACACAAGTCACTATGGAAACAGAGCTACCAGCAACTTCTCGATTTTCCTCATCTTATATTGCTGCTCAGTGGAGCCGTCAGCGATCGCAGTCAATGCCAGAAAGTTCTCAAAAAGAACAATACTTGATGTTAGCTGAGAAAATTATTGATGCACTTCCAGCGAGAATCAAAACAGACAATACTGGAGCAGATAATTATTCGTCTTCTCCGTCAACCAGGCTGGATGACAACGAAAATTCTTTTTCGCTAACAAATGCTGCTTATAGAACATTTTGCAGTGAGTTGAACTCACCATCTGGTACGTTGAGTTCTGATTCTTCATGTTTGCAGAGCCCATCAAGCCTACAGCTAGATGATGATGACGATGACGATGATGTATCCTATCAGACAACGGCACAGTTTTGTGAGTTTTTACAAGGTGGTAGAGGCATGGAGAAAGATTTGTCACAATTGACATTGTCGGGTATGTATTAGCTATATCTTGAATTAGATTAGCTACACATTGAATAATGAATAAACAAGTTAGCTAGATTAGCTAATCTTGAATTACTTTAGCTAAACATTGAATAGTAAATATATAAGTTAGATTAGCTACATCTGTAATAGTAAATATATAAGTTTAATAGATAGATTACCTACACTTTGAATTATTGAATATACAAGTTAGCAAGATTATCTATGTCTTGAATTATTGAGTATACAAATTCGCTAGATTAGCTAATCTTGAATTACTTTAGCTACACATTGATAGTAAAT